TGATTTTAAGGTTATCCAAAACAGAATACAGAATAAATAAAAGAAGCAAGGGTGTGAGACCTAATGTGAAACCCAAACACAAATTCCAGCAGCCAATGCTATAGGAATGCTATAGCAAGCAGTGTTCCGAAACTAARTTCCACCATCTATTTTGAAGGCATTCCTCTCGGACTTCACCATCTCACTATCAAATAGCTTTCCACCCATATCTCTATGTGGTGTCCGGACCGAAAATAGTGACACAATGGTGTKTTCAAAATATATGGATAAACAAATCTCTTTGTTAAAAATCACTCTCTCGAGCCGATTCCCATATCATTCGAGTTGGCGTGTTCTTGATATTTCATCTCTGAATATATCACACTTTGACACTTTTGACAAGCGACCAACCCGTCGGGAGTTACGTTTTGAAAAACATAAATGACAAGTCTCYTTGTCGRCAACTTTCTCAAGTCTACCTCTTATGTCATCCAAGTTGACGTGTTTATTGATGGCTTATCTCTAAGTCCATCGCACTTTAACACTTTAAAGTGATCAACCYGTCAAGAAGTGTGCTTGGTTTTATAAAAACTCGAATGAAACAATGGAACGTCGTTTTTGGAAACACTTAGCTACTTTCGTTCGGTTTGAAAATCTCACATTTTTGTCTCACACCCAAGCTATAAAAACTTAGCTACTCATAACTGAAAGTAAAAAATAAATGACGGAAAGTAAAGACATAAATGTAAATTGCRTAAAATAAATAACGATAAAGTAAATGACGGAAAAGTAAATAACGGGAAACGTAAATGACATAAAATAAATAACGAGAATGTAAATGACGGGAAAATAAATGACAAGAAAATAAATTGCGGAAAGTAAATGACGGAATGTAAATGACAATAATCGTAAAGGAACGTAAAATAAAGAGCGGAAAATGAAAGACGAGAAATTAAAGATGAAAACTCAAAAACTCAAGAACTTGAAGAACTTCACAAAAGATTCTTCACAAATCAGCTCTAACTTAGCTGATTTTGAAGTGTAATGTATGTTAATGGCCCCTTAAACAAGTGGGTAAACACTCMTATTTATACAAGGAGTTGAGCACAAAACAACAAAAACATTATCCAAGAGTTAATACCCAAAGTTTAATACAAAAAGGGATCCTATGCTAAATATTATCCATTGGTCCAAGCTTTCCAGATTTTTAAGATCTTCCAGCTGTCATCTGGCTATCCTCCATTCTGCACCAAAAATCAGCAGCTTAATCGTTAAGCTATTTGCCCAACCGTGTGTGCAGCAGGTGGCTGCTACTGAAATGCTGAAGCATTAGGTTGTTTTACAAAATATTATCCGTTAGCTTATATTTTCATGCCCCAACAAATTAAACCACAATATTTTAGCTCTATAACAAAAGTAAAGAGAAATAAACATAAAATGACTCAAAGTGGGAATGAAAGACAACTAATTTAAACTTGAAAGACGTAAAACGGATGCATTATGTGTTGAATTCTCAACACCTATCAAATTCAAACATGGAGCTTTAATAAGTTGTAATTATGTACAATTTACTTATAATCTTGAATTTTAAATAATATGTATCAATAAACAGTACTTTATGTATAAAAAATAATTTTTAAGAATTTTTGTCAAATGCTTTATAATATATAGTATAGATCTATTAAAAATTAGCTCAATATTAACTATTTTATGCCTTTCAAAAAAAATTATTAACTATTTTATATTATTAAACCAAAAATAAATTATTTCGTTATTAAATTTAAATTAAATTATAAAAAAAAAAAAACACATTAAAGAAATTACATAAAAAATAAAACTTTAAATAGTTGATTTGATATTAACATTGATATATTTTTTTTCTAAAATTTTATGATATCTTCAAATTTATATTTTATTTAAAAATAAAATCATTATTGCTTTATTAAAAACACATAAAATTGTATTATAACATCGACATAGACAAATAATAAAATAGAACATTAAAATCGATATGTGTCTCGCTGTATTGCACGAGTACTCTTGTAGTATATATATAAAATACAAATCAAGACGGATAATTATGTAAGAATAAAAGTTAAAATGAGAAAATGAAAGAAGAAATCTCACTTTCCTCCTATAAATTACACTATACCACAATATGATAATTGCTGTATGCCATGTGCACACTGCACACCGACCCGTATCACGTACCAAGTATCGAGTACCAATATATGATAATCGTAGAGAGAAAAATATATCTTCATATGTGAATATTTATAAATCACGAGCAATGAGGGATCTACAAAATCTGGACTATAGTTTCATGAAATATGCATCAAGTTGTGAATCAATTAGTGATCATTAATTAAGACGATGAGGTGAGTTATTATGTAACTCTTTACATTTATACAACACTTTACATTTATACAACCAATAAAACTCAATCTCAACTGTCCATTTAATTTGATGAATATGTGATTTAATAAGAGTTTTTATTATTTTCTAATATAAAATATTGATCATAATTAATGAACTCTAGTCATTTTCTATAAATATTTAAATAATAATAAATGAACTATCTTTATTTTCATAAATATCTCAATTAATTAGGTTTCATTGGTTGTACAAATAGATATGATTGCATTTGAAATATACCCTTAATACGATATGCATTTTCAATATGTAATTAAAAATATTAGAGAATTTGTTTAAGACAAGATCTTCTAAAAATCTCATGTATTTCACACACCTCATTATAATAATAATAATAATTAATAATTCATTCATTCATGGCATTTGATTTTCCAAATATTCATCAAATAATTAATATTAAAGATTGGGTCGTCTTATAGCATGGGTTGACCTCTAATATTTTAAATGGAATTCTTCCTATCAAAAAATAAATAATATTTTTAGATAAAATGGAATCTGTTAAAGATATTTGATTTTAAAAGAATTGAAATTGAATGTTGCTAGTTTTGACCATATGTTTAGTTGACAAAATTGAAATAAAATATTTTTAAAAAAATTGGAATCTGTCTCTTTAGTTCACAGTAACATTTTTAATTGAAATGAAATATTGGTAAATGATCAAAATGTTTTTTTTTTTTGAAAATTTTAATTTTTTTAAAACTAAAAAAATACTTTAATAAAATAATTATATAATATGTAAAACAATATAAAATACATAACCAAAATATAACCATAAGCCAAACGACGTTACTAAATAAACAATGATTCAGATCGATGATGGTCTGCAGTGATAAATATGATAAATTAATCTTAAATCGAGATACAAAACGTCTATTTTATATAATTATTTTTTATTGGATGAGATCTTATAAAATCGTATATGTGTTTCCCACTTCACCATTAATTGCAAACTTTTCAAGAAAACAATTTTAATATCATTTGATTTTTTCAAAAGTTTGAATCTCAAAATATTTTTGGGAAATTGATTAAAATATTCATTTTCTTTATTTTAATTCATTTTATAGCTATTTTTTATTCAATTTCTAAAGTAGTTGGATTTTATGCAAATACTTATATAGATGAGGTTTATTTTGCAAACTATATTATTTGTACAAACCGTACAAACCTCATTCAATCAATCATAATTTTTCATTTTTTTTATTATGAGAGGTTGATTAACCGTTTTTACTGTAAATGGTGTTAATCATGGATATTATCATCTTCATTATTTTAATTTTAGAGAAATACATGAAACGGTTTCATTAATATTTCATTAAGTATTATATGAAACAATTTTATAACCATATATGAAACAACATCATAAAAAAGTGTTATATGAAATAATTTCACAAGATTAAACAATTTTATGAAAAATTTTCATAAGATTAAACAATGAAATCGACGGGTGAGAGTGGTTTATACAAATTGAATGGTTTGCATTTGATCACTCCTCTATATATATAAACTACTTTTTTAAATTAAGAAAAAGAGAAAAAATATGTGGTTTATATAAATTGTGTAGATCTTTAAAATACTTCAATTTATATTCTTACAATTCATTATTTAATTTTCTTTTATTTACATCTTTATTATATTAACGTAAATTAACTAAAACACATTAAAAAGTAAGTTTCTTTTTTCATAAATTATATCATTATGATCATCTCGTCAGTGCTTTTAAAATAAGTTTAATATTAAATATTATAAATATTTATGAATTATTTTTAGTATTTACATTTTATAACCTTACAATTACAAATTAAATCATAAGGATAGAAAATGTAAGTACCGCAAATAATTCATACGTATTTATGATATTTAATAATATTATTAAATCTAAAAATGTTCAATATTAAGCTTATTTTGAAGGTATTGACAACACGATTATAATGATTTAGTTTGTAAAAAATGTATTTTTATTGTATTTTAATTAATATATGATTATGTATGCTAATATGGTAAAAGTATAAAATAAAAAATAAATTAAATAACTAATTATAATAATATAAAATGTGAAGCGACATTACTGATTATTCATATGGGTTCATATATGCATCTTCCAATGAATTTTTTCAATAATTCACATATGAATCTTCCTCCTTACCTTCTTACAATATTTAACATTCTTATTTGAACCTCTCACTACAAACATATATAGCTAACAATCCCAAGAAAGCCTGAGGGGCTGTCCGTCCTTATAGATTGCGAATGTTTTTTTGGAGGGTCATATATGGAAAGAGCATGTTTTTTAATTGGAAGGGGCAAACATGAAAAAAAATTTGGTTTTCTGAATAAAACTTCTTCTTAGAAGCTTATTGAATAAACGACTTTCTATATCATTAAGCCATTACCAAACCATCATGTATAGCCAATGAAATAAGTTGTGAATCCCATTAAACTCATTAAACTGCTAGCAAACAGACCCTCACCACTTAAACAGCCCAGGGTTAGCTTAATCACTAACTACATCATAATAATGGTTGGACAAAGTAGCCCCTAAGTTTGCTTTTGAACCCCAACACAAAAGGATAGAAAACCAGCTGGTCTACCATTAGCTGCCCATAAAAATGGCAAGAAACACTTCAATGCGTATTCAATATGAATGTCAAATACAATTGCAACTTATAGTGTGGATAAATATATCTGTAATCGGTTAAAATACGAAGAAAAAAAAGATTAACCCTTTTGCCGTGTTTTCAAATGTAGAACTCACAGGTGGAGTTTCGGCTAAAAAAGAATGGCAATACATACATTTTGAAACTCCGAGAAGAGCAAAAGTCCAGTTCTAGGCTTCTAGCTTTATCTACACGATCTGCATGTTTACAACGAAAATCAAGTCAAGATCGAGATGGTCAAGAAATCAAACAGAGCAGCTGCACAAAAACAAAGATCCTTACGCGTAACATATCAGCTTTTAGCGTTTAATTTCTCTAGAAGAATCTTGTTCAGAATCCCTGGATTTGCTTTGCCCTTCGATTCTTTCATCACCTGATAATTTGGTTTTAGAGCTTGGTTTACGAGCCCAGTGGAATAGAAATAAACCAGTAATATTCAATCGAGAGAAAAGATCAAACCTGTCCTGCAAAAAAACCTTGCAGCTTGGTTTTACCCCCACGGTATTGTTCCAACTGTTTTGGGTTATTAGCGATTACTTTATCAACTATTTTCTCGATCTCAACAGGGTCTACTATCTGTCAAAGAAAAACACAAAATTGTAGCCCAAATATATGCACAGCTCTAGATTATATAGCAAACAAAGAACTTGCCTGTACTAGATCTTTCTCCTTAATCAGTCCCTTGACGGTTCCACCTTTTTCCATTAGTTCAAAAAGTATCTGCAGAATTTGACACATGAAGCTTGAACCACCATCCGTAACACCGGGAGGGAAAGGAAAGAGAAGTTTTTTATTTGCATTCTTGAAAGAGAAGGAAAGAAAAGGAAACAATGTTTCATGTTCTTGAACTGGTGAGAAAAGAAAGAAAAGATGTCATTTTTACAAATATAGCCTTTACATTTGTTTTTCTCACTTTTCCTTATGAGGGTATTTTTGTCATAAAAGATCACAAACTCCTTTCATATTCAATTTTCCTCCCTTGCTTCCCAGTTCCCACATTTGGGAGGAAAGTTTTGGGAGAAAACATAAAGGATATTTTCCCTCGTATTTCTTTCCTTTCCCTCCTAGAAAGTTTAGAAAGCACGGGTTTTTTTTTGTTTTCCCCTCCATTCCTTTCTTTCCTTTCAAAAAACGGTTTGGCGAACAGTGTAAAAGTTCAAAATATATGAAAGAAAAGAGCAGGCCATTTGCAGAAGCAATGATTGAAGCAGAAGATACACACCTCTTTCCCTATCTTTCCGCTAATAGTTCCACTTTTTATTGAAGCTATCAACTCGCCCAATTCTTGAGGGCTAAGTTTGATTTCATTGATAGAAAGCTTTTCGTTCTTCATGTAGGCAGCAATATCTCCCATGATCCAGTTAGTGGCCAGTTTGATATCAGGAACTTTAGCAATCGTGGCCTCAAAATAATCTGCAACCTGAAAAAAACCAAAATATGTACTTTAGACAACGGAATGAATTGTTGGCTAAGCAATTCTTCTTGATATTTGTCGTGTGTATATAATGGGATGAGTGTGACATACATTCACATCATTGGCAAGAAAAAGAATGTCCTGCATGCTTAGACCCATATCCTCATATCTTCGACGCTTCATATCTGGAAGTTCAGGCAAAGAATCATGAATACCATTGACATATTCTTCGGTGAGTATCACTTCTGGAAGGTCAGGTTCAGGAAAATATCGATAATCTGCAAGTCCTTCCTTTTTCCTCATTGTAACTGTTTTCTAATAATAAAAGAGAAAAAAAAGGTGAGCATTAAAGCTAACAATTACCCGAGTGACCAAGAAAACACATTACAAAGCATAAGCGAGGTGCCGTATAACCTGAGAGCCTTCTTCCCAGAGACGTGTTTCTTGTACAATTTCTTCAGCTTTCCCTTCATTATAGAGCGCTGCCTGTCTTGCAATCTCAAAATCAATAGCTCTACTCATCGCTGAAAATGCATTTAGATTCTTTATTTCGACCTATAAGTGAACAACCATCGACGTTAGCTACAAACAAGAAGCAAGGGTTAGTTAATAGTTCTTGAACTGCAGCAACAAGTTTTCCTCCATATAATGTGCTAGAAGAATGGCAATAAGATTTAAATTGTAAATTTTTTCTCTATTTGGCGAAATCTATGGATCCCAAAAGATATCTTTCTCCCATGCCGTCTCTTTTCTAGATGATTTTCATTTTACCTTTTATGCAACGAGCAAATTTCTTGTGTTCCAACAGAAGTATTTCACGTTATGTGTCACAAGCTAACATACACAAATGGAATAAAGAACGATCTCATAGGAGGGTAAGATTCAAAGTAACTATGTGTCAGGAAGCCTTCTGCATTAGCTAAAGCTCCTTCACATCATTTCACATAGCATATTGAAGAAGCAAATGGAAGGTACCTTGGTGCCAAACTCTAATTGTCCAATTGGACGAATGGAGACATTCACATCACAACGAAGCGATCCTTCTTGCATATTACCGTTACTGACCCCCAAATATCGCACCACCCTTTGCAACTCTGCAGCATATTCTGCAGCCTCAATGCCAGTTCGCATATCAGGTTCAGAAACAATTTCAAGCAAAGGCACCCCTGCCCTATTCAAATCAACCTGCTTTCAAGAAACTAAATGAACCACAAATCCTAAAAGATGTATTCCCATCAATCAAAAAAAGGAGTCATGAATTATTTACAGCTTCGATCAACCTTGAATTTGAGAAGTCATAAATTTGCTTCCAAAAGGTAAAAGGGTTCCATTTCTTTGGATGGGGTAGCATTTCATAGAAAAGTAATATATTAACAAATGCATGAAGTAACAGAAGTCTGAAGAAACTGATTCGAAAAATAGCAAAGAGGATAATCACCTGAGAGTAATTCCCAGTTCCTGTATGAAGTAGCTTCCCTGCATCCTCCTCCATATGAACCCTGGTAATGCCAAACCTTCTGTGTCCTCCACCGAATTCAAGTGGAAGATCCAAATCAATGAACCCATTTGTGGCAATTGGAATGTCAAATTGAGAAATTTGGTAGCCTTTAGGAAGATCTGGATAGAAGTACTGTTTCCTATCGAACTTCGAATTCATAGACAACTTGCAGTTGAGTGCAAGACCAAGCATCACTGCATACTCTATGACTTTGGAGTTCAAAACCGGCAAAGCACCAGGCAAACCCATGCAAACGGGGCAAACACACGAGTTTGGTTGATCCCCATAACTGTATGCACAGCTACAAAATGCCTTTGTCATAGTTGCTAGCTGTACATGTGTTTCTATGCCGATAATTGCTTCAAAATCTTTCAATGCTTTTTCAACAGCTTTGGCTCTAGCAGTTTCTGTGAAATTCGAGTGAGGCTGTTGTTTTGTTTTCATTGTAGTTTCTGTTTGTGTGCTTTGCATTGAACAAAAGAGAACATGTTTTCTTGTCACGAATGCAGACGAACACGGAAATAACGGGCGGGTTTGAATGCCTCTTAACAATGTAAGAGCCATTGAACTTTTCTTTAACTAATTCAATTGGGCTGAAACAATGAAAAATCTCAGCAAGTATCCAAATAACACACAATGACACAATCAATCAAGAAAATTTATTGATAGAAGTACACAAGATTCACAAAGTTAAGCTCAACTTTTCACACTGCTTAAAAGAAGAAAAACCCATTATTATTTTCACGGAAACACCATTTACAACCTGAGCTACATGTGAAATCTGAAGCATACCAAGAAGGGATTTATGTGGAGAGCAAAACACATATCAAGTGAGCAAGTGGCATGCTTCTTGCATTTGACAAACTTGATCTAAAATAACATCAACATTCAAGATTTCTTCGTGAAATCACGTGGTAATTTCAAGATTACATATAAAGCATCAAAGGTGTTTACTTTACCTGCAATGACCGTAACGGCAATCAATATATTATGGCTATTTCTCACATCCCATAATGCAAAACCCCCCAAATGATTCAGCATCAGTATGTGTCTGAGGTTTTTATAAGTTTTGTGGAAGAGCTACAACGCATGAACTATGAAGGAACCAAAAGCAATCATTTATTTATCTAAAACAATACTATCTATGTTCTTCAGTGAAGTATATATACAATACTATCTATGCTAATAGGTTTATCGTCCAAATCAATACTATCTATGTTTTTCAGTGAAGTATATATACAATACCATCTATGCTAACAGGTTTATTGTCTTAAATATGAAGAAAAGACTTACTGCACAAGTTTTGCACCTTATCTGAGAGTTAATAATGGGAGATTTGATTACACAAATTTTAAGCAGGAAAATGTCCAAACAAAGAGCCACCAATTTCAAACTACAAACTCCTAAAATGATATCGTCTACCAATAAAGCAATGACTGTAAGATAACATGGTCTGAATCTTAAGAAAAACCCTAAATCTACTGGTCAAATTATAAGAGGCTTTACCTCCTACAAAGGTTTTTTGTACTCTCTCATTACCTTGTGGCAGGGCCATTGATGCTCCAAGTTCAGGATACCTATGTTGGAATGAGTTAAAGCTGTGGCACCACTCTCGATAAATTACTAATTGACAGGCTATCTATGTTGGCCATCAATATCATTCAGATATACAGATGCTCAGTCCATTTCTCTTATTAGCTGTTCTTCTGTACCTCCTTAAGAATTAAGATGCATAGGTTTTAAACAAATTGAATAATCTCAAATGAAGAAAGCATTATCCCAATTGGTTAATGTGGAAACAAACAAAATCAAAGTTCAAACAAACAAGGAGTCGTGAGATTAGTCCTCAAATGAAATATGAAACCCTCACCTGAGAAGAGAACCGTTCTGCGGCGGAGAGGGGGAGGCCGGAGTGGTTTATCGGATTAAATTGATGACGGACTGATAGGATTCAATTGTCATATGAAAACAGATAAAGTGATGCTTTATGTTTCTGAGTTATGTGCATAAACTGTTACATGAATACAACAAAGTGGTCGTGCCGGAGTGGTTATCGGGCATGACTAGAAATCATGTGGGCTCTGCCCGCGCAGGTTCGAATCCTGCCGACCACGTTTTTCGAATTTCTTTTTAATAAGTAAATTATGGATCTGGTCCTTAAAATTTGGGTTTTTTACAAAATTGGTCCCTAAACTTCATTTATTACGTGGAAAAACTTGGAGGTAGGGCTGTAAACGAACCGGACGTTCCGTGAACCGTTTGACGGGAAGTTTGTTTATTTAATAAATAAACGGACATGAACAATTTTTTTTTGTTCGTTTAGTTAAACGAACAAACATGAACAAGAGTCCCGATTGTTCATTTATGTTCGTGAACGTTCGTTTATATTCGTTTGTTTATGTTCATTTATATATTAAATTTAAATATAATTTTTTGTTTTATTTACTTTGAATTCAGATAATATTTATTTATGTTCGTTTAGTCTGTTCGTTTATGTTCGTTTAGTCTGTTCGTTTATGTTCGTTCGTTTACGTTCATTTAGCATGTTAACGAACGAACATAAACGAACACGAACACACCTAATTTATAAACAAACGAACACGAACACAAAAAATTTCGTTCGTTTACCGTTTGTGTTCGTTTGTTCGGTTAAATTAAACGAACGAACATGAACAAGCCTCCGTTCGTGTTCGTTCGGTTCATTTACAACCCTACTTGAAGGTCTGTTTTGTTGGGTTTGTTCCTTTGCCCTAACATCTGGAATTTATTTTTTATTTTTTTGCCATTTCCTGCATTTTTATGGGGTTTCCTTTTGAAAATAACACTCTAAATCTTATTGTCTCTCTCTCAAAATTAAATCATTTTCACATATAACAAGATCCCTTCCTCTTGCTGGAGATCTCTCCTCTTTTTCTTCTTTATCGTCGTGGCCAGATCATTGCACCTAATGTCGGTGTCGAGCCCAAGTAAGACCGGTGCACCCGACCCTTGCAACGTCCTCCTTCCCCTCCAGTGATGTCATCGTTCCCCTCCAACCTATGATGTTGAACCCCACCTCCCCCAACCTGTGGTGTCCTTCCCCTCAAACGTCTTGTCGGTTTCTGCTTTGTTGTTCAAGATAGCCAAACAATCATTTATATTCTTGATTGAAGATTCGATTTAGGGTTTGTATTAGATTTTTAATATAAGGGATTGTATCTCAATTTAAAATGGTAAAGTGACCATTTTACCTTCAAACTTAACGGATGATTGTTAGGATGAATGACCGAATCTAACAAAAAGTGCGTCATAAATGAAATTTAGGAACCAATTTTATAAATAAAAACAAACAAGGACTAAATCCATAATTTACTAAAGTAGGAGGGGAAGAAGTGGAAACTCAAGTTTTGAAGGGGTTTTATAACTCTGACTGAGAGCAATCAACTCCCAACACCTTTATTTTATTTGATTGTAATGAAGATGTCGGAGAGATTGCAGCAATGGGGTGGCAGGGCGATGCCAAGATTCTCCTTTAGAAATGCTACAATCATCGTTTGTTTCTTGAATTTGATCACTGCCCTATTCTTGATCCACGGATTTCTTTCTCCTTCCACCTCCAATCGATCCGATTCAGGTGCATTTCACTTGATTTACTACTGTTTGATTAATCTAGGGTTTCCATTTGAATTCAGATAGCTGTGTGTTAACAATTACCCACTACTGTGTTCGTTATGATTTCTCAAAATCCCCAATATGTATTCGTCTTAGATTTTGGGTTTTTAGTTACATAGTTGTAGCTGCCTTCGTAAGGGTTATGCTGTTCTTTCGATTTGATTTCTTCGCTTTTTCATCAGCTTCTTCGTATTCATCAAATCTGATCACCACCAAACAGAACCCTACCACCATCAATGACTTGTTATAGCATCACCAACAGCCATGCTTTTTAGAAATTTTGGAGATTTGGAATTTTTTTGATCCAACAGCTATGCTAAACTCTGCTCTAAAATAGACGGAAAAAATTGGGAGAAAGGAGAAATCTCCAAATTTAGAAAAAAAAAATGGAAATATAGCATACCTGACGGAGATGCAGTGCAAAATGGTTTGGTGCAAAATGATTAAGAGGCTCTCAAGATACAGTGCAAAATGAAATATAATTGTTCGGTAATTGTGTATAATGAAATTAGGGCTCTTAATGGTTAAAGGAGATCTATGATACAAAATCATTCAGAGGGTTTTAGAACCATTAAGTGACATACATTTTTTTTTGCCAAACAAGATTCACCTCTTAACGATTCAGATGTTGCCTCTTAATGAAACTATTAAGAGTTAAACAATTTGATGCCAAATAAACTTTAGAGGTGGGGTTAGAATAGGGATGTATGCAAACCTGTCATTTACCCTAAAAAGTAGAAAGAGTGTTTTCATTTTGGCCCTAGCAAAAAAGAAAATTTGCCCAAAGAGTTTGAACAATTGAAAAAAAGAAGAATTGGTTGAAATGAACTAATGTTGGATAAAAGTAAGCAACACCATATAAATAGAAGTAGGCACAAAGAAACATGGTGAATGTAAGAAAACAACACATTCCTTGGTCTATCTTAGAGCATATTCAACAACTATGCTAAATTAGAGATTTTGGAGTTCTTTTGTTCTGCCAAGTATGATAAAGTGTATGCTAAAACACAGAAAAGAAGAGAGAGAACGCAGAAGTCTCCATATTTGGATAAATCTCTAAAATTCAATATTGAGGAGAGAGAGATATTATTTTAGTTGTTTCCACCAATTAGCCTCTTATGTCTGATTCGTTAAGAGGTAAGCTCATTCAGACTATTTATTTTTTCCAAATTTTCAGAGGCACTTATGTCTTATTGTCCTCTTATCTGGTAAGAGGTAAACCAACATCTTATTTGCCTCTTATTGTTCTTCAAACCCTCAACAACTGCCTTTCTCAATCAATTAACCTTAATCGATCATTTCTCTCAATCGATCCTTACCAAATCTATCCTCACCAAATCTATCCTCACATCTTAGAATTGATGTATTTATAGGATTTAAATGTGTTAAATATTGTTCATGACGTATTATTGTTTAAATGAATGCTAATTATATGATTTAGATGTAAATTTCGTAATGATGATGAATAAATATGTGAAATTGTATAAATTCATGTATAACTTCAACACTATAACTTTTTAATCGGTAAAATAGACAATTTAAACAAATTCAGACGTTTATCAGTTTACAAAGACAAACAGTCTTATTGATTCAAATTTCAGAATTCAGCACCACCTCTTATAAATCAAGTAAAATAAAATTTCAGACTTCAGCACTTCTTGAAAAACAAATATCACCTTAGTATTATTATTATTTTTGTTTGTGTTGTGTTAATGGTTCTTCATTGAGAACACACTTTAAATCCATTGATAACAATCTCTCTACCCTTGACCCTACATTTACATGAGATTTACTGGGTTCGTTTGGTTTGGTTTCTTGATTCCATCTGATCTTGTTTTTCCTAAATATGAACTTATGTTTGCCTCTTGAGATCTAGTTCTTCTCAAGTATATCAAGGAATCTGAAGAACTACGTCATGCTATGGAACCCGTAGAACTTATAAAAAGAGTAAGTTGAATAAGATTAAACTAGTCTTGACTCGATCTCCGGGTATTGTCCATATAAGAGCATCCACAATGGTACGCTTTTTATTTGAGCATTTTTTTTAAAGTGGGGCCCACAAGCTTAGGTGGCCGAGCAAAACAAGCTTATTTGAGAGCTTGTGCAGTTACAAAGCAATTAAAGTAGCTTTTGTTTTGTCGCGAGCTTTCACTATCCGATGTGGCCAAAAGACTCCGTTAAGCTCTTCAAAAAGCTCTATTGCGGATGCTCTAAGATGATTTTAGATCTCTAGAGTTTGGTTGAACAATAGAAGTGAAATGAATTCGTTTTATGTAATGTGGGTGTTTTTTTGATGGGATATAGGTTAGAGAAATCGAGCGAGAAACACAAGAAGAAGTTGACGTGCAAGAGAAAGATGCAAAGCAATCTGCCGCACTTGACTTGATATCGAGATTGAATAACCATCGCTCTTATTCAGATGCCGACAACCAAAAAGGTAATTCCTTTCTTGAATGAAGATTCAGGGTGACAAAAACTTGTTAGTCCCATGTTTGGCGTCTAATATGACTTGGGACACGACAAGACCTGAGTGGGACAAAAATGCATTTTTCTGTCCCACCAAAATCGGTGGAACAAAAATCAGGGAGATAGGACAAGATACATGAATTACTAAACTACCCATGTCAAATTAAAATCCAAAGACCTTTCAGAATTCTTTCACCCACCTACCTCACTTTCGTCTGTCCTGTCCCGCCTGCATGCCAAAACACATGCTATGGGTTGGAGTAAATCATCGAACAGGACACCACTACATCATGTCCTTTTGGAATGCATGCCAGAGTTTAGAGTTTCTTGCTTCATAGTATGTTCAATATGGGGTTTATTCCAAAGAAAGATTTTCATATTCAAAGTTGATATAGATTTGATTACATGTTAACGACTTCATATTTCAATTTGTTGTGAAGCTCAATTAGTAATCGTGATATATCAATGTTAACGTTCACAAGGTTGTTGTTTGACCTTAAAAGTCAAAGAAAGGAACAGAGGAAATATGTACATGCTCACCTATATCTTGTTGGCTGTTGTCAGCTCTAGAGGAATGGCGTAAACGAAAGATGGAACGAGCAAGACGACGTGGCCTCGGTAGAAACGGGACCATCGCCCCTCAAGAATGAAATCTTCATTCCAACTCCATTCGTAACAGTTACTTTTTTTATTACAGTTTCTGCATAGGAAGGGCTTTGTCGGTTCTAGAGCTGTATGGCAGTGGACCTAGACCACTGTCTTAATGGCGCCTTCAGGTTGCTGATACTACTTTTAGAAGACGACAAAAATGGGTTCAGGTTGAAAATATGAATGTAATATATTTGTACGTACAAGTAATAGGTGTCTTTTCTTTGTATGCTTACATACATACAAATATATATAGGTACAGGCTTAGTTGCGAACCTAACTTCCATTGTGAACTGGGAGACAAACGAGAGCGTATCATATGTCCCAGACATTCATGGTATATTCATCATGAATGTTGTAAAAAAATTCACGTTCATTATTCATGATGAATTGGAGACATGTTACACTCTCGTTTGTCCTCGGGTTCACAACAGAAGTTAGGTTCGCATCTGAACTTTCCTCTGTATATATAATCCAAAAACATCTCTTTACTAAAGGATCACAAAGAGAAGTATGCGTCTTTCATCGAAGTTCATTAGATTTCTCTCACTTTCAAATCCAAATCTGGAGTAAAATGTACGTACAAAACAAGAACTATTTGAACATGCATCGGTTCCATCTCTGTACAGAATATATATAATGTAATATATATTTGTACGTATCAGTACAACCTATTGATACAAGTTGCCCGAGTACGATTAGCAATCCCGCTTACGAAAGTCTACAACAAAAGGCAATGTTGTTCACAATTGGTATATAAACATATCAATGCAGAAATAACTTGCTTCTTAAATGGCCCATCTTAAATTTTGCATTAAGCATTTCTAAGAACCTAACATACCAAACAAACCTGTATATCCCACCGGTATAGGGTCTAAGAAACCTGACAGACAGCACGCCATTTTATTTACTGGGGAGGAAGACGACATGTGATGCAGTTTGTAGCGACAATCCATACTTGGTATATAAATTTGTCGGCGTAGAAAAAAACTGGCTTCTTGAATGGCCACCTGTAGATGGTTTTCTGCTCCTTATGTATCATATCCCATCTTAACCATTAAGCATTATGCATCTCTAGAACAGAAAGGAGGAGAGATGCTTCAAAAACCCTTATCTACGACGAGGAAGATGAGATGTGATGCACGTAGGAAACTGAGCTGCAAAATAGCGCCAATTATCGTTTTTATAACGCATCTACAAAACACAAGATACGAATGCAGATTAGCATCCAGCTGTGTGAGATCAATGGCACAGTTTAATGTATTATATATGAAGCGAATCATAACAATTCTTCAAAGCAAATGAATTTCTCCCCTGTTCCAGTCATGAAATAGATGAAATAAATCAAAAGAATGGATTGAATTAAAAAAAAAAAACTCACAAAATCAGGGTGCAATCAATAAATCTTATCGATTCACTTGGAATGTTAAACTTCTAAACAAATGCTCAAATCCATTCCAAATTTGTGGAGGGATTCACTTCGATATGCATTGGTTGGATAAATCAAGTTATAACAAAAACTGCTGCCTGAAGAAAATGTCTGAAAGATTTCTATTATGAATGCATGATTCTACTGACAACGTTGCTACAGTGGTCATCTCAAGTTCTCAACAGTGGCACATAATGGCCATGAAATTGAACTGATCCTGACACACGCTGGATCGATAATAACAGATTCAAAATTAAAGGGTTACAATATATTTCCAGGCACTTCGAGATTGCCGGATGTCTCCCAAGGCTTTCTATCAAAACACACACAAACTGATGGACCCCCCCCCCCCCCAAAACCAAAAAAAACACCTACACAGCCCCTCTTATTTATACAAAGTGTAAACTATACACCGGCCTACTTTATATGCTTCTCCTACTTGTAGTCATGCAGTTCCGCTTGTACACTCCTAACCAGCCTATGAATGTTTGACCATTTGACTAATAACTACCACATTAGTACATTACCCAGGGTATAACAGATTCATGTCCACGAGATACGTGTTTTCTATGCAAAATAGGATTGCAGATTTAATACCATGTTAATGAGCAGGGTATAAAACTAACACAAGTTCCAAAGTTACTATCCGGGGTATAAATCAATATAAGTTCAGAAGAGAAGTGGGAAAGCTCAACGTCTGTACATGGAAGTGAGATTTTGCACTGGATTACACAACGGGCAGAAAGTACTGCTATTCATGCAAAAAGTTCGGTTTTTAGCGAGTTAGTTCATGCTGCAGGGGTGGTAGTTTTGCCTGTGGCAAGGGGCCGTTTACCCGAACACTTACATAGTAAGCACTTATTGGTAAGGTTCAACATATCACTTACCTTACTGGGTAAGATTTTAGTCCATCAAAAAGGCATTGTATGCAACAATTTACCCGGTAAGCGCTTACTGGGTGAGAGTCGTCACACTCACTTACCGGGTAAGACTCACGGTTCTTGCTACGCTCTTACCGTGTAAGATTCTTGGTCCTTGCCATGTTCATCAATAAGGTAATATGACTTGGTAAGCCTGGATAAGCATTTGGTAAACGGCCCCTAAGTAATTCTGCTGCTAGACTATAAGAGTTGGAAGAAAAGTCCATATGTTTCCTTATTTTACAGGTTTGCAGGCCATGCATTAACTATAAATGATTGTTCCGCTATTCATGCACATGTTCTACAAGCAAATCAGCAAGGATATCCATCTATGTGGTTCAACGTTGATGCAGGTTGCGGGGATTTCAGTTTCGCAGCTACAGAAAATCAAGGCAACTTCCCTGATGGGTATGCAATTTCTTCTTTATGGTCGAAGGATTTGAAAGATCAGATTGTCCTGAATGGTGTAATTGCATTACTCATCAGCGAAGGTTTTCATTCTGGAAAGGTGGTTTACCGTTCTTTCAAGCCTTTAAGATGTCTGTAATTTTCAATTGTGCTTCTCTTCAAGATCTATCAATGTAATCTACTCCCTCCATCACAAAATAAGTGTCCACAATGAAAAAGGCACACAGTTTTAGGGAAGTGTAATTATTACACTTCTAATGAACTAAATGACAGTTTTATCCGTAATGATAGAGAGTAATTAATTTCTCCAACCCATAATTAAGGGTAGGGTGGGAAAATATGCACTTATTATTAAAAGTGCACCCCTATTTTGGGACGGAGGGAGTACATTTTTTGCAAAAAATAAAGGGGTTACATAAGAAAATTCTAAGGAAATGGCATGGCAACAGCTGTGCCCTATTGCAAGAAACTAAGCATCTGAATTGAAAGACACATAAAAATGCGAATTAAAGATGCAATGTGCATAAGAAAGTAGGGAAGACGATAATACTATGTCAGCAACCAACAGTCATCCTTCTGGGAATAAACGTGAGGGGGCAGGGATGGCTATATTTCTGGGAGCGAACTCCAGGAAATGTCTGCATAATAATAGACCCAGCTTCCTCCAGCCAGCTCTAATAAGTTGAGAGCAGCAAAGTTGAATCGTCTCGCAAAGAAGCGAGATTTCATGTGCAATATTGAATCGTAACATAAAATGGGGTGACTGGGAATGGATAAATTTCAAAACAAACTATGACCATCAAGCAAGACCTTCTGTACATGGATGATGTTTAATTCAACAAACTTGCGTTATAAGAAGGAAAATTTGAAAGCTAACATGACTTAAGCTTACAAAACTTAACAAGTTGAATATGAAGTCTAAAAAGCTAAAATCCTGCCATAAAAATGTGAAATTTATTATATATAATCATGCGCCCCCCACCCCTTCCTTCACAATGTGAAAATTTTATGATAGGGAAAAACCAAATGGAAAAATAAATAAAAAGCATGTAGCAATTAAGGGGATGTCTAACAAGAAGAAAATTTCTATTACCAAGTATAGAGTTACAACTTGCAATCAAACTCAAATCCTACATAAATCAAAATAACCAACCAGAAAATTCAAAATTTGGTGTCTTATGGCACAAGCAAGAGAGAGATAAAAAGGATATTCAAGTTAACTGATGGACTCAACAAAGTATTCATAACTGGGACAAGTAACAGGTTACATTTGTACTTCCATTTCTATCTATGTCAAAATGTTCTGTTATAGGCATTGACATTATCACTCTTCCCAGTGGCATATTAGATGTAGAGCATATAATTTCCGAACCAAACTAAAGCAATTTTAGGTTAGTTACCAGGAAAAAGGCAAGTATGGTGCAGTTCAATAGAACCTATTAAGATTTTGAAATTCAACTATCTTCAACTTAAAGAGTTGTGCCCACACCAAAACCCTTTACCTCAGGTTACTTGTGTTAGGCCAACAGTCCGGAGGGTCTCCTTCCTTCTTCTCAACCACACCGGCCCTCAAACCCATTCAAGGTTTCTCAATTGTTTTTCTTCTCACCGGCCCTTTTTTGACCACTCTTCTTTGTTAGTCTCATCATGGCCTGACATCCCTATGCCATTGTTTCGCTTGTTACTGGCTAAATTCTCCCCTAATGGCTAGCATGACCAAGGCATCTTCATCTTTCCATCTATGTTCAGCCACCACAATAAACAAAGGAATTTATTGATACTGAAACCCTAGTTTACGTTTTCCGGCAATGGCAAGCCCTCCTCACCTCTGATGACTCATCCTCCCTCTCCAATATATCTCACCATCCCTCTTAACATTCTTGTCTTCTCCGCTGAGGATCTTCAAGGGGTTTTAGAAGTAGGTTGCTGCGGTGGTACAAGATTTGGACTTCCCTCGTGGATCTAGCATAGGCTTCAGCCATCCATAGGCTGTTAGCTTTCTTGGAGGTATTTGGTGTTGCTTTGAATTTTCTGCAAGTAGGTATTTCGAATCTTCTTTGCATTATTTGCCCTTTTTCTGTGCTCAAGGGTTCATTCTCAGGTTCTGCTTCTTAAGTTGGTTTATTTAGTTCTTTGGCAAGCTGAAATTATTGGCCTTTCAATTTCATTTTCTTTAGTGTCAATTTCACTCATGAAGTCATTTTAGGAATGAGTACTTCCAGTTGTTCATCTTAAAAAAATTCATTTCGGATCTGAATGTCATTGTATCTGGGTTGGCATCTTGCCTCACTACAATTGTACCTCAAGTTGGATTCTCATGATACTAATGCTCTTTCAGAAATAAATAAATAAATAAATAGAACTCATGACTGTTTAGCTTAGTTACAAAGATGGGAATAGTAATTACCTCGGTATGCTGTGCGTAGCAGGATCTGCATTGACATATACACAAAATCAAAACCAACTACTTGAAATTGATTAGTTACAAATGGCCAGTTTTTCCGTCCATTCATCAGCTGCCCCATAATCAAGACTAAGCTCCCTCATTGGAGGAATGTCTTCCATAGCAAACAGCATAAGGTGAGGAAATGCAACATTGGAGTGATCAAACAGCACTAATTGCACAAAAACATTTGGACACGAACTATGGCTCATGTAACAAGCGACATTTCTCATTCTAGAAACATCCATTGCAAAATTCAATGGCGGTACAGACGGATACGACGGGCGTACATAATGCGGAAATACTTGGGACAAATCCCCCCATTCTGCCCATCTCTCACCAAACCGATTTGGATAGACTAAACTATCACCATTCATGGTGAAAACTTGAGCTTGCTCTCTTGTGAGGACAACTCCAGTATATTCACAAATAAAAGAACCAGCTTGTATCAAGTCCAATGACCTAACTCCCCAACCAGTTTCCATTGATCTGAACACTTCAAATCTATTCCTCAAACCCTTTTGGCTGATGCGATTGCAACACCGGGGAGGGCAAGAACAGTGTGGTCCACATTCAAAAATTAATGGTTTTCCTCTCAGAAGAAGCCCATTCATATCATAAGCAAATTCACCTCCATTCTTCTTGGCACATACACAATCAGATGAACATCCAGAGACACAATCACACCCACCATCAATCCCTCCAAGATGATACACGAAAGGAGGGAAAATAGTTTTCACCAGATATTCATAGCTCAGTGGCTCATAATTACTATCAATGTCATTAAATAGGAACACTGGCACATTTTCCTTGTTCGATGAAATATCCAAACTAACATATCCCGAAGGCCTAGCCTCCAATGGACTAGTCCTAATATTCTCAGCAAACTTAAGGATTGCACTCCCCAATTCAGGTTGACCTTCCATTCTAACAAGTTTGAACTTATACACTCCAAAACCTGACTTACCTACTTCAAACCAAGCATCAACAATTTTATATAGCCCATCATAAACATAAACTTTCTCACTAGCACTACCTTTATACTTAAACCCACGAACAACCCGTACCTCAATCCCGTGATGCTTACTTCTCTCCATACCAAGATTCCCACCATCCAATTTCTGATGAACAACCTGCTTTCCATGCTTATCTTGCCCACCATGACCTGTATATACGATCACATCACCACCATCTTCGTCATCTTCATACCCACCCGAGACAATCACACTAGTAGCAATGGGCTCCCCATTGGAGCTATGACTCGAGCTTAAGAAATCAATTCCTGCCTGAGCTTGACCATGGATGCCCAGAACACATAACTCCATTCTGAAAAAGAAAACATCGCCAACATGAATCCCTGGAATTGCCCCAACAATGCGTTTCTCGCGATTCAACCAAAGACCGCTGTCTTTCATCATCGTGGCAGCCTTCAAATCACCCCGGGTGCGGGGCATACGCCCATTTGTATAAGATCGGCGCTTCTCGTCTTCCACCATAGTATAAACCCACAGAGAATCATACAGCATCCTTGTTTTCCTCACCAGGTCTCGAAAATATCTCTCGTCCTCGATTTGAAGGTTCATTACCCTAACTAATTCAGCTGATCGCTGTTGAGACTTCCGGCGAGACGAACATTCGACGGTTGAAAGCTGGTCTTCTTCGGGAACCGGCACAATTGCTAGTGCATCAGGATATATAACCTGTAACTCGTCGTTTTCCTCAATGTTACTCGCCAATTCGGCATTGAATCCTGAATGAACATTGTTTTCGACGAATCCGGGTGGTGCGACTGTAAAATTCGAGTCAGTTAGTGGTGCACTCGGACTAAAATGAGGGTTAGGGTTTCGGGAATTATCGGGTTCAGGTGAGACACCTAATGGTTCGTCAAGGGGTTCGAGTTTAGGCTCAACTTTGGGTGTTTTCAAGGTTGTAGCAGTAGAGGGTCCGCCGATGCCCCCGCCCGCGCTGCCGCTCACGGTGGTGATGGTGGCGGTAGAATGATCAGGGTACAAAAAAAGGTCAATCGCAGAACCCATGTTTTGTGCTCGGATGAAATCAAAAAACAAGCAGAAAAACTAAATTGACAGCAGGGATTGTGAAGGAAGAATTGCAGAGCTCTTCCAAAGTGAGGCGTTCATGGCGATTCAGTCAGATCAGCGAGAATTTAGTAGAACAGATACGATTGCAATGTCCGGAAACGTACCGTTTGGGGGTGGGTGTGTGAATTCCTTTATGCACGCCTATTGGACTTGGTTGTGTCATTTGTACGATATTTAATGAAATGTCCATCCATAATGGTTTTT